ATTGATTACATGCTGCTTTCTCTTTTTGAGTTTTATTTTTGAAATATGAGATATACTAATCTTGAATTATCCAAATTTATACAAAAATTTTAAATTAACTGTATTTTTATAACACTGATTTAAATATGAATTTAAAGGAAAATAGTTGCATATTAGAATTAGTCAATAATTCAGATTAATCAAATTCAGCTGTAGTAATGTTCTAAAGCTTTTTGTATATCAGAAGATAAAATGATTTATCAGTCTATAAGCAGTATATAGCATACATTTAACTATATTAATTGCTTTATAGCTAAGTTCTTAAATGATCACTATAAAAGTAATAGTGAAATAAAGATTAAATAATTTAATAAAATGTTAGATGATATTTTCCTCTATTATTTTATTTTAAATATAAAAAAGAGTCTTGTAAAATGAATTATTATTATAAAATGTATTTTCAGTTTGACTAAACTTGAATTAACAGAATGTCTCACTTTGATTAAATTTAATCAGTAATAGCATGATTCACTTCCTGCTGTTAAGTTTTCATCACCTTCTGTTTGTTATATTTTTAATAAAGTGCATGTTATAGTCCTAAACATAAAATTAATTCTGATTATTTTTTTATTAAAAAAATGTTCTAGAAATATCTAATAATAAAATAAAACATGTTTTGTAGAAGTTAATCTGTATTTCAATAATTTAAAATTATTTTTTAAAGATTTGTTCATTTATGAACAAAATTATTATTTAATTTATAATTAAAAGAAAAGTATGTATGTTTTTAATTTTATCAGACAAACAAGAGTGTATCAATTCAGCAAAGTTTATTTGCTGCAAACATATTCAGTCATGTTAATTGATTATCATTAGAGGAAAGTAAATGCTATTCCAATAAACAGGTCAGCTTATTTTAGGTATAAAATGTTTTCAAGTCTGACTCATCTTCATTTTTATTAGTTTAGCACTTAACATTATCATAACATGGGGTCAAAACTTGTTAGGTTACACATAGCAAAAATATAATAATCATCAATAGAACATAAATAGATGATAAACTTTTCGCAAATTTGAAAAACAGAATTTTATAAATTTTAAATAAATACAAGAACAACAGTTTCCTAAGAAACATTTTTAGGAAACTGTAAGTTTACATATAAATAATGAAGAAAAATTTAACATATGATGTTCTAAAAATGTTGTTTAAAAACTTGTCCTTATATTTATTTAAAAATTTGTAAATTTTTTTTTTTTTAATTTGTAAAATGTGGTTCTACCATTTATGTTCTATTGTAATATATTTGCTTGTAATATTCTTGCTGTGTGTAGCCTAATGAAGATCATTTAACATGATTGAAAATGCTTGCAGTAAATAACTTTTGCTGGGTTGATAGTGTGAGTTCATCTGATTAATTTATTATCCAGTTTGCTCAATTAACTTTTTAATTTCAACTATATAAATAAATGCAATTTGGATTTAAGTATAACAGAATCTTTGATTATTTTATAAATAATAATTTGATATTCATATATAATTTGGAAAATAATACATTATGATATTTTTATTTGAATAATCTTGATAACTTGTTTAAAATTTTCAAATTATATATCTTTTGGAAATTATTCAAGCCATATTTATATTAATATATGACTGAACATAGAAAACATTACAGAGCTTTAGTGGAGTTTTTGAATAAATTTATGAATAATTGTTAAAATAATGCAAAATATTTTAATTATCTGAAAAGATACAAAATAAATTACAATTAAATTTTATGTCTTTTTCATGAAGTTTATCGTGCTGCATAAACAGTTTAAAAGCAATTGTATCTAATATTTTAGGAAGCAAATGTTCATTTCATTTAGTAAAAAAATAAAAGTGCTTTAGAATTTCAATGTTTTCATGGTAAAAATTTTGAAAGAATTTTAAACATTAGGTAAATTTTATTAACTAGATCCAGTTACTTTTACCAAATATCAGCAATAGAAAAGTCAACTATAGGATGATGAATTTAAACTTAAATTATTGGAAACTAATTAAATTTACAAGCACAAAATACAGCATTAATTAAATTTACTATAAGATAAAAAATATAAAAGTGAGCTAAAAATTAATATACTTTTTATTTAAAGCTTCTTTAGGTATAAATTACATAAAAGAATTAATCTATCCAATTCTTTTATTTGATTAAATGTATCAATTTAACTCTAAGAAATGATTTAATGATTTTTTATCTTAGATGATGGGCCAGAAAAACTTTAACAAAGTGCTTAGAATGTGATTGTATAAGCTCCAATAAAGTTTTATTCTCTTATTTCATGATAATCGATAAAAAATTTTCAAAACTTTGAATAAATTTATATTATCTTTCAAGTTAAACACAGTAGAGACCCAATTATCTAAGGTAATAGGACAGTAGAGACCCAAATATTTAAGGTAATATGGTAATATCAGATAAACAAAAACTCAGATGACATAGAATGCTTGGTAAATTATTAATTGGATGCATTAACATGTGTGATATATTGTATTTTTAAGTTAGACCTATCTGTTGAACATAATGACTTTTCAATTTTACAATAAAGCATTTTATTTACAACTAAATTTATTAAAAGAAATGTAAACAAACACATCAAAAACACACCGCAAAATATAAGACTTACTTCTAACCCAAAACCAAAAAGGTGCGTAACTCGACAGTACGTCTTTCACTAACGTTTTCAAACTAACGGTTCTTTTTCAGGTGAAAAAACGGACAAAATAAATGAAATTTAATGGAACATATCTGTTTTCGAAAGAATTCTGAAATGGGATTTTGGAGGAACTGTGCAATCTTTATCATTGTTTGCGTCTTCACCGTTGAGAGAAACATAACTTTTGCCTTGTCTGTGTCATATAGAAGAGTTTGTCATGCTATAGACAAGGATACTTCAACCTTACTGTTGATACAATTTTTACCTTGGGCTGTTTTATGTATATAAATCGCTTCCATCAAGCACAAATGGTGTGGCTGCTGCGTGATGTATGTTATCTTGGCCTCATTAAATAATGGTTGTACATCAGGGTCCATGGCATACTGTGCCAATGCGGTTGTAAGCCTCTTGTGGAGGATGTCAGCTTTATGCTCTTTAAGCCTCACTCCTAACGATCTTTTTGTGGAGCAAACGTATATTAAGTCTTTATCACACCTATGATCTCTTATAGGGATGGTGTATACTCCAGCTAGCTTGTTTTGTTGTGGAGTGTCTTTCCCATTACTGAGCATTTGAAAAAGAGTATGACATCTTCTAAAGACTAAGGTGACTTGTCTCTTCCTAGCAATCTCAGTGTACATTTTCTCTAAATACAGATTATAAGTAATAGGCACTCTTTCCTCACGAATTGCATTTTCTTGCTCTTGCGCTTCTGGTTGTTCTGTTCATTGGGGATGAAGCATGTTTTTGGCTAATGCAGTTACCAGGTTACCATACCCATGGCATTCGGCAATACTAGTAACTGTTGATCTCAGTTTCAAATGCATGCGATGTTGATGAGTGGGTGTAAGTTTTTTTGACCAAGGTGTTAAATACTGCTACTTTGTAAGGCATTGAGTCACAGGACCCTGCAGGAATGTACCAATTGCTCTGCCAGCAGTTTTCTGTATACTTCTGTGATGATGGTCATCCTTTAACTGTGATGTTGACATCAAGAGAATGAACTTGGATGTAGCTCTCCTGTTCAAGGTCCAGAGTTAAGCCGTATGAGTTGTTATTAAACACGGCTATGAATGGCGGCATGTCAAGCTTACACTTCCATAGGATGAGTATATCGTCCATGTACCTCTTATATATAAGAATATTGCAGAGTTGGTCAGGAAGGACTTTCTCTTCTAGGAATCTAATCACCAGTTTGCATAGATCTCCCGATACCGGGCTCCCCATTGGTATGCCCCTTCTTTGTTCATATACTGTGCCATTGAACTGAAAGAAAGAGTTATAGCACAATAAATGCACCAACTCTAAAATTTGTTGGTGGTGGTTAACATCCTCTATAATTTTGAATAACAAATCTCTTATGGTACAAAAGGCTGGTATTAGAAGTACCGAAGGGTACAGGGATTTAAAATCAAGTACAGTGAGGTACTGTGGAGGTATCAATATGCTTGAGGAGTGCTATGAGGTCTACACTATTGGATGTAGTGAACTGGTAATCTTCCAAGTGTGGAGCTATTAAAGTGTGCATTAGCGCTTCGAGTTTATGCATTGGAGCACGAATCTCATCAACTACTGGACGAATCTGTTTGCCTTGTTTATGTGTTTCGGCAAACCCGAATAATTTAGGTGTGTCAGGAGAGTCCAATACAATGTTCTTAAGTTATAACCTCTTAGCTAACTTGGTGTTGGAGAATCTCTTGACTCTTGCATGCAATTTTTCAATTGTGTTATTGTCAACTTTCTCACATTGAGTAAGATTGACATAATCTAAAAGCAATTTCTCGTATGTCTGCTGTTTCGTAATTACCATGGTTTTAGCCTTGTCGGCTCTAATGAGAGTGATTCTATTTTTATTCATCCATCCATGGGCCTTTGATATTTTTGTTCTTAATTGCTTTTACATTTTTAAGACTTACTTCTAACCCAAAACCAAATACAGTTTTGGGTTAGAAGTAAGTCTTAGAAATGTAAAATTATGGTTATCATTTAGATTTAAGATTTCTATAATCTACCTTAAAATTTGTATTATTTTGTGAAGTCATTAGAGTAATATATTTTTTAAACTTTTAGAGTCCCATTCAACCTCCATGTGTTTCAGACAAGATCTGTAAATTTCATTGTCTTCGTTTACATTTTTCCACAGTTTACCTTGGATAATATAGAATCTAAGTTCAATTAGTCTTATTTAATCATGACTTTACTGCAATAAATAATAGATTTAAAAACCTGACTACATTTAGTTCTATTATATAAATAATAGTTTTATTACTAAAACTAAATTATAATTATTTTGAAAAATGAAGTATTTTTAACTGTTTTTTATATATATATTTTAACAGTTCCTTTGTTTAAAAAATATCCGAACGTTTCTTCAGACATGTCAAAATATGTTTGATATCAAAACCACAGATCTTTTTGAACCATATATGTTATTTGATTATACAGATTTTGGAAGGGTAAGTAGTAATTATTTCAACTATTAAAATTGTTGGAATTCAAATGGATATTAATATATCTTCAAATTTGTTTTTTAGGTGCTGCATACATTATCTGTACTATCTAAATCCAGTAAAGTTGAAGCTATTGGAATAAGGTAAATAAAATTTACAGATATTTAAAATGCTTTTTTTAATAATTATATTTAGTAAAAAATCAATTTATGCAATTAAGAGACTAATCAAATTTTATGATTGAAATTATATTAATAGTCTACTTAACTAACAAATATCTTGTAGTTATCATATTGCAACATTTTGAATTGTTATTTAAGTTTTTGAAATAAATTAAGACTTCTTAACTGAGATTAATTGGCTTTAGTTTAAAATAACTATATTGATTTATACTACTTTTAAATTAATATTTTCATTAGTGATGTGTCGGATATCCTTATTCGTATCTGGGGATATTCAACGGAAAAAAAGTTCTGTATTCGTATCCTTATCTGTCACTTTTTAGCGGATCTTTTATCTTAATAAATTTCATTACTTATCTGAAACTTTAAAGATAGGTAGCAATAAAATACTAATAACTTCAATTCAAATCACTTTTTATTTCTTAAAATCACATATTTGGCACATTCATATTGCAAAAATTAAATACTTATACATTAATTATAGTAAGTTACCAGTATAAGGTATTAATTTAACTATCTTTATAGTGAGATCAAACCTCTAATGCTAATTGAAATAATCATCACGGTTATATTATATTGTATTATAATAATTATCAAATAATTTTAATTATCAAATTATCAGATAAAATAATCACATTTTTAAAAACTTCAAAAAAATTAAATGTCAAAATTAATTAATGGTAAATTGTACTTCAAAAAGAGTAACTTGGCAGATTTATTCCCCAAAAGTCTATTATGATGAAGATCATAAATAATTCCTGCTGCACTGAAAAACTGCTCACTTGGAACGCTTGTTCCGATACAGCGATCTATTATTATCGCTGTAATTTCACATGCTACTGTTTGTACTGTGATTTGGAATCTCCAAAATAGAATCTGTATAAAGACTTGAAATAGTTTAATTGGAAAATTATATCAGTTTTTGTTACTTTATCCTGTCTGCCTTTGTGGTGAATTCTAATTTCACACACTTTCATACTATAAACAAAAACATGCACAGTGCAAGTCAAAACATGTCGCATTACTAACGCAAAGCGTCAACTATCAGTCCAAGGTCACACGCACCGGCACCGACTGAGTACGAAAGTTGAGATCCATATCCATATTCGCGGATCTAGACACTAATGATCTTATTCGTCTCCACACACTGGAATGTAATAAAAATAATTCTTACTTTTAACCTTGTAACCGGATATATCAAATATCAAATTGAATAGAATTTGAATGATAAATGGCTCAAAAGAAGGTATTCGATTCTCAACATCCGGCTTAGTATTTATAGAAAAAGCCTGAGGAAGAGCCTAGAAGGGGCGTCGAAAATGTTCACTGACATATAACACAACCACTCTGGTTACAAGGTTAAAAGTAAGAGTTATTTTTTTACACTAATGATCCATATCTGTATCCGTATCCGCAGATATACATTTTTAATTAAAATTAATGATCCAGCACATAACTAATTTTCATCCTAAAATTCAATAAATAGTCTTATTAAATTAGAAAATCAAAAGCAAATTTGATCTGGAAATTATGATTGGATGTAACTTTTTTAAAGAATTTGCTGTATAATTCGTGTTGACCATATAATTTATGTTTGACTATACTAAAATGTAAATTTTTTACTATAAATTCTTATCTTCTATTATCAGGACTTATTATACTGGCTTTACAGATAATGCTGAGGAAGGACAAATATGTCCAAAACGCAAAATTATGTATGTGTCCAGATGTATGGAATAAAATAAAAATTGTTTTCTGTTAAACTTTGTAGCATTATCTGTAAAGCCAGTATAATAAGTCCTGATAATAGAAGATACGAATTTATAGTTGAAAATTTACATTTTAGTAAGAAAAAAGGACATTGGGACATTTTAATTAATTAAATTATGTTTGACTGTATTTATGTATACAGTGGAACCCCGGTTAATGAACTTAATTCGTTCCGCGACTCCGTTCGTTAACTGAATTGTTCGTTAACCGAAGCAATTTTTCTCATAGAAATTAATGCAAATGCAATTAGTCCGTTCTAGTCTCCGAAATTTTTGTGATTTTATTTGTAATATACAGTAATTTTCTTTGATGAAAATGTAGGAAAACGTAGTATCTATCATTACAGCAACAAACATGTAAACTTTGTTTGATAAAATAGCACTGTACATACCTTAATTTGTTGTAGTTGGTGGCAGAAAAGTGGAGATATATTAACCTTAATGCTTAGAAGGGGAATCCCCTCCAAAAAAAATAATGGGTAGCACTTCATTGGAAGATTCTTCGAGTCGAAGAATCTTCCGATAAAAAAACTTTCGGTAAAAAAATCCACCAGTGGCTAAGTGGTCTTCGTACCTTGAACATGGGGAGTTCGTTCGTGGATTCGCAGTCTCTTTCGGTAAAAAAACCCATCAGTGGCTAAGTGGTCTTCGTACCTTGAACACTACGTACGGATCAATTTCTTGTTCCTTACGGAACAAGAAATTGATTCGTAACAATTTTCCAATTAATCTTGTTCCGTAAGGAACAAGAAATTGATTGTCTTACTCTTTTAATCAAAATTTTTCTTAAATGCGATAGCACATTATCATTTATATTGCGTTGTCGTTTTCTGTTGCCACTATGACTTTTTTCTTTCTTGGATGCCATATTGATTAAATATATAAATCACAAAACTGAAAAAAGAAGTATAGCACAAATACTCGGAAAAGCAATGCTTAACTCGCGCATGCCTAACACCAACTAAAATCTGACACAAAATACTGTTACGTTCGTTATCTAAATTTTGTTTGTTATCGGAGACAAAATTTTTGCAAAACAAAAGTTGATTAACCGATTTGGTCGTTAACCAGGACGTTTGTTAACCAGGGTTCCACTGTAGTTCATGTTTGTTGTTCTGATATGATCTAAAAAATTTTTTACATTTATAAAACTATACAAAAGGAGTAATTGGAATCAAGAAAAAGTAAAAATGCAATCCAACTACAAAAGGAACAAGAAGTCATAAATTATAAATGAGACAGTTTTTCAATTTAAATTTATAGTATTGATTTTTCTGTCAGATCTTCAGATTTAATAGAAAAATCAAAAGAAATTTTTCTATATTGAATAATAAATTCAGTTTTTTGAAGTAATACTGAAATTCCTAAACTGCAGCTTTTAGAATAAATTTTATTTTATTTAACCATTTTACTTTCCCAGCTGTTATGTATACATAACAAGGGAAAGTATAGGAATTGTGTCAAATCTGACCCTCTGAGTTTTTTGCAAATCTTCATGTTTTAAACCTGAATCCAAAAATATAAAATAAAAAAAGGCAAAAAAATTCTGGTGTCTATTTTGCTTAATATCTCAGGATAGGGTAAAGGTTAAGAAATGAAATTTGGCTTGTTGGTTTGTATGTGAGGGGCATTGATACTATTAAACTTTGGTAGTGAAAGATTGAGAGGATGGGGAGATAGAAGATAGTAAGACTTAATGAAGATTTTATTCATTATTAACATTTACACTTTTTTATAAAATTCACCCTATCTTCAGAATTAAGCTTTTTGCCGTTTTATAGTAATTAAAAATATAAGAAGTTTTTTCTAACAAAATCTGATAACAGATGGCACTACATACAATTTTGGTTTTTGCTAAATAATGTAAAAGTTTTTTAAATAAAAACTCATAACAGCCAAGAAAGTTATGCAACTTTCATTGCTAGATTTTTTTATTTACTTTAACATTTTCAAAGTTAAGAATTCTGTCTTTAGACATACCATTTGGTACACACATTAGAAATATTCTAACAATTTATATCTGAAAAGATGAAAGTTTTATGATCAATTAACACTAAAATTGTTAAGTAATTTAAAAAAGAAAGGAAAGGATACACACTAGGGTTTCTTATTTCCCGGGAAATTTGCCTCCAGCGGGATTACGGGAAAAATAATTTCTTTTCCCGGGATCCCGGGAAATTCCGGGATGAGATAGTAAAATAGAATTTTATATGAATAAAAAAGATCATACATGAATATCATAAATTTGAATAATTTAATTTATTTTCTAGTAAGTAACTAAAAGTGTAGGGCTAATCTCACCCATACGGACACGTTAGGCTCAATTAATTTATGTTCTCCTACATTATAAGATGAAAGTAAAATAAAGCGTTTCATTGGAAGTTTTAATGATTACGAAAAAAATACTATTTTACTTCTAAAGATGAAATAAAAAATAAACTAAAGTGCGATGAGTGATATTTACTTTCAGCAAGTCTCCCTGTTCAATGATGCGCAAACACAATATATAGATATTACATGAACTAACAAGTAAAGACTTGTAAAACATAGGTAATAATATGCAGCAAGAAACCTCAAAATTTCTCTCTTAGGTGAGTCTTCAAGATGCAACTTTTCGTATAATAAATACTAGAAAGAAAACCTGACATGGTAAATTATTATTGAAATGCGAGATTTCCCGGGAAAATAAAATTTCCTGGAATTTTTCTCGTAGGGAATAAATGGCGAGAATCCCGGGAAAGAAACCCTAATACACACCAACCAAAGCCAAATGTTATCAAGCTAGAAATATAACCATTTCTAGCACGATAGCATTTGGCTTTGGTTGATGTCTAGCTTTATAGTATATCAGGTTTAGTGATGTTGTTTGTTTAATGGAAAGGAAGAAGGAAGAGAGAATGATACTTCTTGTGTTTAATATATACTAGGAAATTGAAAAAAATACAGAAAATAAAATAAATTATATATCTAAAATAATAATAATAATCAGTATTTCATTTGATTTAAATAATTTAAAAAATAATAAATAATTAAATAATATGGAAGAAGCATATAAATTTTGAAAATTATTAAAATTAAAAACAATAAAGAAAAAATATTTAATTAGTAAAGTAGAACCTCGAAAACTCGGCCTAATGTGGACCGAAGGGTGGCCGAGTTTGTGAAAATGCCGGGTTATCGGGAATGGGGTTA